CCACTCATTGTAAGAAGTTGATGAAGAAATCTATTCTCAAATTAACATGTTTCTACAATGACATATCTGGCTGGGTGTGTGCAATGTCAAGCACAACTGGATTAGAATTGAACTCCCCCAGTGACTAACCACTCTGCCATTGTATTTTTTTATTTTTTCCTAACCATGTCTTATTTTAGCTCCTCTCCAGACACGTGGCACTATTGTTCTTTTTGACAACCAGAGGCTTCACACATCCACTTTAGAGACTATTGGGAGTCGGTGCAACCAAACCGAAACTGACAAGCTGCATAAAAGCTGACTAAACCCCATCGAGCCCTGGACTAATCAAATATTTACCGATTCATGTAAAGTCGCACAAAACATTACATAGATATACAACTACATTGGTTCTCCGCAGTCACCTTGCTCTGCTCTTATTCCCTGCCTGGTGGATTCTTTGAAAAGTCTGGCCGGTCGGGCATGGCACCTTCCCTCTGGTGATTTCGCTCATATCCTGGTTAATCCCGAAGTCGCTGCGGTGTCACTGTGGTTACAGTCACGCTGCGGTGAGAAAACCAAACCGCTGGGCATGCCTCATTTGCATATAAGTTGAAATGAGAGCTCCCATGAAATCTTTTGGACTAGTCGCATTTACAGTACAAGTGAATGGCACAACAATATTCAGAGACATCACTGAGGATGTGCCACAAAACAATTTTTAGAGAAAAGTTTTCACACAGTTTTTTTTTCCCATATATTTTTACTTCAATAAACGTATTATCAAATAGGACAGAGTATCCGATAAGTGGCCAAAAGCTGTATTTCTTACTTTGTCCCTTGAACCCAAATATTTGTGTCATGGGAATTGAGACAATATTGTAACCGCAGAATCAAAAACATACCTAGTCCAAGATAGCACTAACAGGTATACAACATTTGATTAAAATTCACCTAATTTTTACTTTATAGTAGCAATTTTTATAAATGTCCATCCATCCATCCATCCATTTTCTTCCCCTTAATCCATTTCTGGGTTGGGGGGTGGCAGTCAGAGCTGCACCCATTACACATAGCACCAGCCCCTCCTGCTGCAGGTGGTGAGTCCACAGGAAATTTTATAAATGTTGTGTAGAATATTCTCTTTTTATGTTTTATTATTTTATTCATTTATTGTATGCATGCTTTATTCTATTTTTACTTTCATAACGTTTTTGCACTGAGAGCAAAGCATATTTTCAATGGAAAACACATAATTCTGATTCTGATTGGAATTTCACACAAAGTCGTCTAAATCATTGTAAAATAGAAAACTGGTGTATTATGTATTCTCCATTCCCCTGTAAACCATGCTTTGGCTGTTACATCAATTTTATGTCTGAAGATTTCTGCTCAAACACTCAAATTTGTAAACATTTATTTTGCAATCCTCTCCCCCTCTGTACAGTATATAAACTTGCCTACATCGCTAACCACGACTTTCAGTGCTGAACTAAAACAAAAAAACAGAACATCATCATGATCTATTTCCACCGAGCAGAAAAAAGTGCTACATTATTGAGCAACGAGAGGCAGAATGAATGCCCTTGCCAGCGCCTCCTGATTGGTGTATCGATTTAATTATGAATAGATAGAGACCAAAATAACCCAGGATCTCTTGTCAGACTTGAATTGGAGATTTGTGGGTCCAAACAAGTATCAAGAATATATTTACTGGCTTTGACACTGCTTAAAAGAACGTGTGCATGGGTGAAATTACATGTAACTTTAAGGAGGTCTGCTGGGAATGTGCTGTGCTAAGGCTGTAATAAGGCACTAGCTAAAATCTGTCTGATTACTGATAAAACCACAATAGAACTTTCACAATTACACACCAGAAAGTTACAATGTTGGATATTACAGGAAAAGTTAGGATTTTATTTAACTAGGGGAAACAACTTACCATCAGCAAAAAAGTCGTTCATTGCTCTCAAAACAGTTTGGTTACATCACTATTTTTCACATGTAGGTATTTAGGCCTCTGTCCCATCATTAGATCAGCTTTTTCTGACAGAAAAGTGAAAAATAGATGAGCACCGTCACTCAGTGAATCAGTTATCAGCATCAAAGCGTGACTGACAAGGCGCTTCCTACAAGTGTGCAAGCGTATAACATGTTTTAATGAGATGAGGACAGCATGTTGTGGTCTTGTTCACATTATACCTTTACAAGACTCATCTGTTAGAACAAACATCATGCATTATTTATGAGGGAAAAAATTTACCTTTTTTTAATAAAAAATAATCTTGCAATGTTCAATGACAGTAGAAATCCATTTGGATGAAAAAGGAGTGAAACAGGTGGCTTTATATTCTTGCAGCTGTTGTTTTGTGGGTAAATTGTGCTTGTGTGTGTGTGTGGGTATGTGTGCCTATATGTGTGTACGCATATATACGTGGTGAGCCAGCTTCAGCCACACTACAGCTGTCAATCAAAGCCCGCACGGCCCCCTGGGAGGCGGAGCCCGCTGCTCCTGACAAATCCTTCCACCAGCTGTCTACAAGCAGAGTATGAAGCAGCATCAGTATGCACGGCTCGTCAGCACTGAGTCAAAACGCACATTAGCTATTGTTCGACGCACAACATCACCAGGCAGCACCACACAATACAAACCTGTGCAAAGTGATATTAACTCAATTCAGAAATCTTTATTTGGTTAAGTACAGTACGTCCATCGAAACTTGTCAAAAGCAATGTAATAGGGCTGCAAAAAGCCAATCACAACAGCATCATTTGCCATCAACAAAAGATCCAGGTTTACGATAAGTATCATACAAATGTGGCCCACATTGGTAACACTGGAACTCCCATAGCAGTCAATTTGACCGCTTTCAGTTTTGGAAGCGTAATTTTTCAGCTTAGGTACATTTTATGTCTGTGCAACCTTTTTATGTATCTATAGAGTGTATATGTATGTATTTATTTTCATTAAATTATGTTTAATTTGTTTATGTGAGTAGTAAATGTGGTTGCTTGGTATCCAAATTATTTAGCAGTTAAAGCCCCTTTTTCAAGGTGCTGGTTCTAGACTGGTCTTGGACTGACTCTGGACTGGTTCAGAGCCGAATCAGCTTGGTTTTTCCAGGAGAGAAGTGACCATGGTTACCATAGCAACACAATGTTTACTTGCCTGTAGTTAAGCCTTTGGTAGCCTTTTATTAAAAATACTTTTAATAACACTGGCAAAAATACTAAAATAATGTGGGGGTGATTTCTCAGAATTCCATTGGTCAGAATGGGAGCAGTGAAAAAGACAGCTCTGGGAGTTCTAGTAGTTTCAGAATTCATTAATACAGAGTTGTTTCTAAATGCCAATGTCCCTTCCTCCTTCATGCTTGAACGGAATCCTCCAATTAAAGGGAGAAAAAGGTCTTTGTAATAAAATCCATGTAACTAGTTCTTCACTGTCAAAACAGTTTGGTTTTATCACTAGTTCTTTCACTCAGTTTTTGGTCTCTGTCACATCTCAGCCAATCAGCTCCGAGCCCAAAGCTTCAAATAGTGACTCACGGGGCTCTTTTTCTTACAAGTTTGACAAAGCTAACATGTTTTCTAACGTGGCAAAGAAAGCATGTTGTAGCTTCAATTTGTTCACACCAATTTACTTTTTCTGTTGGACAAACCACACATGTTATTTATGAAACTAAAAAGTTAGGTAGCCCAGCTTTAATACCAATAACAAATCACAAGAAAGATTGCCATTACATATTTTTTCCCAACCTTGATCAACCCTATAATCAAATGAAGTTTAATACTCTGAAAACACCACATCTTTGCGCATATAAATATGTCTTCCAAACATTATAGCGGCTGCGGCGTTGGTGTCAAAGCGGTTGCAGCAGCTGTTCCACATTAACTGCCCAAACACGTGTGATTGACAGTCGCGCTTTTGCCTTTTCTTTTTTTTTCTTCACACTTTCCTCACCATCAGCCCTGTCAACAAGCCATCTCGCCTAATTCCTCGTTTCCTGCGGATCGGGTGTGAAATCTATCATTATTAAAGTGGCCAGCAGCCTTTAACCCCTTTAGTGTCCTCTGTTTTCACACCTCTACAGCACAATGGCCCCTCCCTCGTTGGGCCCTCAAGAGCTACAGGCAAAGCAGGTGCCTATTAGAGTGAGTGGCACTTTGAGTATTATAGCAGCAGCTCACGCGTAAGCTTGTTTCACCGTCGGACTGGTGTGAGGTCTCTGTGACGTGAGAAAAGGAAGTTACTCAAGAGGGATTTCTAGAACTTCAAATGGACTTCAATCGTATGTAAAAAGTTTGCAATTAATGCTCACTTTTCTTTTTCCCCCAACTGCTTTTGTTTTTAAGTCGTTCTTTGCAGATGCAGGAGGGTCTAAGGACAGGGGCGATCCAGGACATTTACTGCATGTATAAATATTTAGGGGCATAGCTCATCCCCCCCTATGTGTTTGCTATTATTGTATTTTCTGTGTTTGAACTGTTTGATTCTCTGATCTGTTGTTGACAATTTGAATTGAAAACTTTGTAAAGTCTGTTGTAATTTAGGGATATAAAAAAAGCAGAGATTTTGATTTAATTCTCATCAAAGTCAGCAATGTTTGAATAGGAGTCTATTATCCCTACTATTTTCTAAGTAACTGCATTTGTTCTAATTGCTATAACTAGTTAGCGACAACAGACAGTTTATTTTTGTTTTAAATTGGCATTGGCCACAAAAAATAAAATAAAATAAAATCTTCATATCAAACCTACAACCTCTACGGCCGCAATTCCATGGCCGTCCAATATCAGTAAGATTACCACTCGGAAAGTTTACAGGCATTTAATTAAAGCTTTAAAATCTCCAAAAGCAAAAGCCTTCTTAAAGCTCGAATTTCGATAAATGCCCCTCAGATATCAGCACTAACAACAACAGCAGGCGGTCACCACTTGAACGCTCCTTGAGACACGTAAACAGCAGCACGATGAAAACAGCCACAAACTTCAGCATCACACACAAACTCAGCTCGTACCTTCTTCAGGCGTCCGCTCTTGGTGCCGACAAAGGCCACGCAGAAGCCGTTGTAGACGTAGGAGGTGACTGAGGTCATGCGGTCCCTGGTCTCCGTGTACAGAGTGTGACCCGTGACCAGCTGAGAGCCCCCCAGAGGCTGGTTTATGTCCAGGCCGCAGAACGAGTCGTCGATGGGCACAGGCTGCAAGAGACCAGAGACACGTTTCATTCAAGCAGAAAAGTCATAATGCATAATATGAATTACTGTCATTTTAAGATGTTTATAAAGACACAGTGCTCAGTGAATGGACACCCAATGAGATGTGTAAGTTTTGTTTTTGGGCACAATAGTTGTATTCCCATTTAATAAGCTATGTTCTATTTCCTATGGCCCCGCAAAGGTCACATACTCATTTTGGAGAAAATGTCTTGCTCAAGGGTGCAATTACTTTGTACTATGGCTGCAGGATCTAAGTGACTTCCTTTCAGTTTTAAAATAACCACAGTAAATGAGCTGCTTACTCCTCTGCACGTTGACAATTAAGTAAAACAAACTGCTTCATCCCCAACAAGACGTACCATGTAGAAAGCAGCAGAGCACTCATCAGAAAGTTTCCCCAAGAGGCTGTTTACTCTAACGTGTTTGGCCAAAAATGTGTTGTTTCTGCTGCAGACAGCCCAGTATTTACACAAGCCCCACATTCCCACACCACAAAAACAAACTTTTGAATTTGGCCACAGAAGTGTTGACATCTTGTTGCAGCTGTTGGCTGCAATCACATAAACTGTAAAAACCATGTGGCACCTGTTTTACTTTGGACCGGATTGCAACAATTCTTTCTACATACTTTGCAAGAGCAGAAGAGCTCAATGTATGAAATGTTTCTATTGCAATGCAAAGAAGACTAAACAAGCAGTGTTGCCTTCAAAGAAAGTTCAGACAGGGTTATTTTTAGGCTGAAATATAAATAATTGGGGTTACATAATTATGAAATATTGGTCAGTATCTTTTGTTTTTCTTTTTTTCTTTACACACAGCCTTATATACGGATGACAGTGAAAATGAGAGCAGCAAGTAACAAGTTTCTAAAAAGAATGCAGTTCAGAAATGCAGGATTTACCAAAAACTAATAATTGGTCAATAAAGACAGACCAATGCTAACAAAGGAAAAACCTCCTTCAGAAATGAAAGTATATTAAGTTTGTCTTTGTGAATCTTGCATAATAACCTCAGGGTGGGTGGCAACAATATTGTACCATGGGAAGGAGTTGGTATCGGCTCAATCATTACAGTTACATTGAGATCTGACACAAACAATCTGAATCAGTGCGTCCCAACAGGAGGTGACTGTACGAGACCAGGAGATGCACAGGTCTTCCTTCAGAGCGGTCTCTCTCCCCGTTTGACTCGGCCGACATGCCTGAGGTGCGGATGACTGGGTTGCTTCACGCTCTCAGGCGGACTCATTACCCCAGCCCATCATTACACCTCTGACGGACACACGCGCTGAATAACAACTACCCCACCTGGCAACACAAACACTGTATATACACGAGAAAGCGGCAGGCATTCAGGATGGAACTGGCTTTTTTATTGAATTGGACCAAGCATGAAATCTTTGTCCATAAACATTCTCAATTTATTTAATGGGTGAAGCATTCAAACAAATGCATTGTTGTGTCCTTTGGCCAAAAACTCACCCACTCCTTGACCCAGACTTTCCTTAATATGCTAAAGATAAAAATTTTATACTGTTTTTATTTTTATTTTTTATGCTAGAGTTAGAATTTATTTTATTTTATTTTAGTACAGAGTTATTATTCATGCATCTTGCGCTGTGTGCTCCTCATTCCTTCAGTTATGTAACTTGTGACGTCACACTGAAATGTCCCTGTTGTGGGATTTATGTTAAAATCAGTAAGAGAAATGGGAGAAACATACATCATGAATGAACAAACGTTTGCAAAGTGCCAAAGGACCAGGTTTTGAATGAATACTTTATACGAGGAACTAAAGCTATGAATGAATAAATGTTTTATGTAAGCAAGATAGCGAGATTGAAAATGAGACGTATCAATGCATGAGTAGACACGTTCAACTTTCATCTATGTAAACAACAAACAAAACATGACCAGACTCAATTCTCACGAGACAAAACACAAGGCGAAAAATCAGGAAAAAAGTAGAGTTTAGGATGGTAAGATAAGATAAATGATTGCAGTATTTACTTTAGGATAAAAATATAGGGTAGACATTATTCTGTAATTTTGAGATTGCCATGGTGATGTTCTTGTATCATGTGCATCTGATAGGCAAGTTCATATTAGCTATTGGTCATTTTTTAGAGGTATTTAGAGAAGACTCTTTCTGCACAAGGATAGCGTAGCGGAAGTCTGGCCTTAGCCATCCGTACACTCCGATCAATCATAATTTTCCTGCATGTATTGTCTGGGTCTGGTCCCTATGCTTGAATTTCGACCGATCAATCAGAGAGCGCGGAAGGTGGGTGTTGTAGTTAGTTTTGGGTGACGTCAAGAGTTGGCGTAGAACGGGCAGGTTGTAGTTTGGCAATGACGATGAATGCGATATTAAAGTAATCTGGTCTGGTTCTATAAAGAAATTGACGCCGGAGCAAGAAGAATGTTTAGCAAATGTAATCGCTGGAAAATATTGTTGCGCTACTCCCCAAGGGCTCCGTTAGCGGCAAAGGAGATGGCAAAAGCTAGGCTAAATGCTAACGACTCACGACTGACATACGTCACAGTAAACTCAGATCCAATTGTTTCAATCTGCAAAAGGAGTTAACCCCTCCCTCCTGTAAACGGAGCTCAATGGAGCACCTCCAGACCTTAGTATGAAATGTAATTTGTACTATGGTGTGGTGCGACCAGGCTAGCGTAGAGGGGGTTGGATATAAATATGCTTTTGCTTCTGCCAACCCCCTTTTCAAACCATGCATATGCTTTACACGAGGAAGTGTCTGAAAACATGTTTGTGCAGGTTTGAAAAAAAAAATGTATTGATTGCATAATACCCACATTATGTTGTATTTTATTCTTATTTTTATCACCATTGTTATGCTTATTTTGTTATTTTTAGCAAAATAAAGAAGTATAAAATCTCTACCTTTGGCATAATAAGAAGCAAGTATAAAGTACTGTGTAGTCAAGTGCAAGAAATATATAGGTTGTATATGTTTCCACAATTCCTCAACAGCCTCTTCTGTAAGAATCGGGACCACATTTTTACACAGCGTTAAAAAAATCCCCATATCTCCGTCGGTGTTGAACGAGGTCAACAGCGAAGAGAGCTGTGGCCTCAAAGTGCCATATGTGGTGATGTCACGCCTCAGACACACTCACCCCGCCATGACTGCTGTTCTATAGGCCCCTTCTGCCAAATCTCAAGGTATACATCAGCATCTCATTATTCCCCTCACTGTCAGTACGTTTTAGTCAGGCCGTCTGAGAGCCACTGTCAGGGAAGACCAAACCTGAGTGGCACCTACTCGGAGTGAGACTATAGCTCCTGCGGCTGTAATGCGCGCCGTGGCGGGGTGCGCGCCTGTCCTGCGGTTTTGTTTAGAAAAGTTTACCTGGAATTCTTACGCGAAAGTTTAAGCGTGTGTTGAGAAATGAAGACGAGGCAGCAACGATCGCACCTGTACATGGTTTATTTTCGAGTCCCTCCAGATCGAACAAGTGGAGACAAGGCTTTTTATATGAATTGTAACAATGTGAATAAGAACAGAAGATGGTATCACTTGAGATATTTACGACTTATGATTTATGAAGATATAGATACTAGTAACACTGTGGGTAAAACAAATACGTACAGTTCTTCAGATAATAATGTTTAGCAGTAATACAGATATATCAAGGTCCAAAGTAAAAAACATGTAGGTTAGGTTCTACACATGGACAGAACGCAAACTTGTTTTGTGTTTGTAGACTGGATCTTGTGGGGATTTTTTTAGTTTGTAAACTAAACATGGAAAGCCTTGACGCATTGATTTAGTCCTGTGTTACTTCAAGTTGGGAAGATTTTAAGTTGTTTATTGTTGGATTCTCTTTTAACATGTATTCTAATTATTTCTCTCTCTCCAACACGTCCAGACGTCTAACTTTCAGGTTGGGGTATGTTGGCCTGTGTTACATCACACTCATAGCAGTTGTCTCGCTTTAAAACAAAAAGCATTTCCCATTAATTACTTTTGGCAATTTCAAAAGTGAAATTACTTTCTTTTATTTATGATTTTGTTTTAGTCAGGGGCCTGTAAAATGTTATCAAAAAGTGAATTATGTGTGGATGCTCTTGTTTTCTATGGGAAAACGCACACAGTCTGCAGTGGCTGAAAAACATGTTTTTGTCTCTTGTGCTGTGAATAAAGACACATCTCTGCTCTGGAGCGGACACAAACATCTCTGTAGATTGGGAGCAGAGGGACCGGCCGTGTCGAGGAGGCAGGAGGAAAATGATGAGGAAAAACCCCCGTCTATCTCAACAATCAGCCATTACCCAGGCCATTTCCTCTTCTCAAACAGGATCACATCTCCTCTAATTCTGCCAGACACATGTTGGAAAAATCATTTAAGACTACGAAATCCATTCTTAGTCCCACTGTGGGGAAATGTCAGAGTTGCATCACAAGTTACAGAAAAGGGATGAGGAGTACACAACACAGGATAAGTGACTACGAAGAATGTTTTATTTTTTTATTTTGTGTTGTCCAAAGAACGACTCATTCTCAATCTCATAAAAAAAAACATTTAAGGTAGAATCTAGCATAATCTAGTTAAAAACATACATACTTTTTTGTATATGTCGATAGATAGATCTGTAATACACTCTAATGAAAGAATATCTTTTAAAACACTACACGTGCCGTTAGTGCGCAATTGTTTGAGACATTTCAAAAGTTAATAAATAGCATCTTGTTTTCCTGTTGATTGCGATAGATCTTGATACCCGAGCTCAGGGGCATCTCGGCCTTCAAAGGGGCGGTGAGGCAGGTGTTCATTCCAACCTAGCAAGAGCAAACCAGACTCCTCCCATTTCCTCATGTCCTCAAGTTCAGACTGTACTCACTTAGGCAATGTTTGGTCTGCTCCTGATTGGTTGGAAGGAAAACCTGCAGCCACATCGACCCTTTGAGGACCGAGCTGAATACCCTTGCTCTGGTTGTTATAACTGTGTCTGAT